CTGGAAGGATTGAGAACTTAGAATAGTTGTAGATTGGTTAATTAATGTAATATTAGCTCTGGGCAATTATTACATTTGCAATATAATCGCAATTTAGAAAAATTGCAGAGGCACTAAGTTTTTAGTCACAATACATTTAACAAGAGTAAAACACTACATTTCTCGGTTCTTTAGGAGGCAGTAAAATGATAGTAAAACGAAGTCGCAGCTAGCACCTAGATCTATGATTAATAGTAGAAGTAAGAACTTTTCATGCAAATGTTACAGTAAAGTCCTGCAACACCAGAATCTGGACAAGCAGGCTTGCAAGGTCATGAAAAATCTTTCAGCCCTTTTTAATTTTGGTTAGCCTTTGACCTGGGCTGTTCGGAGGAGCAGTGGGTAGCATTGTTGCCTTGCATAAAGAAGGTTCCATGTTTGATTCCCGGCCCGGGGTCTTTCTGCATGGAGTTTGCATGTTCTCCCTCTGCATATGTGGGTTCTTTCCAGGTACTCCGCCTTCCACCCGCAGTAAAAAAAAACATGACTGTTAGGTTAATTGGCTTATCTAAATTCTCCTTGGGTGTGAGTGTGTGTGTGAATGGTTGTCTGTCCTTTTAGTCTCTGTACGACCCTCCGATGGACTGCCAACCTGTCCAGGGTGTACCCCACCTCTCGCCCATTGACAGCTGGAGATAGGCACCAGCACCCCTCGCGACCCCAGCATGGATAAGCATGACTGAAAATGGATGGATGGTTACTCTTTGACCACCAAGGACTGTCAGCTCTGCCAAGCAGCTCCATCAATTGTTTATATTCACTCATCGGGCTGCTGCTGTTCTATATAGGCTAAAAAAGGACCATCTAAATGCTGCCAGGATGCCCCCTCAGTTTATACAACCTTATTTTATCAGGATCAAATGGTTTTTGGTCTTATAGGCATATGTGATTATGACTATTATAGAACTTGTCATTATTGTGTTTTATGAATAATCTGTTGCTGAAATGTTATTGAGATGACTCAAGCCTGGCAAAGACAGTGATTCTAAAAAAAATCTATGCTTCTGTATTAAAAATGCTTTAAATCATGTGGAGGGAAATGCACTCCGACATCGATAGCAGGGTTCCTCCATAACAGTCCTTCAGGTCCTGTCTCTGCTTCACTAGCAGCAATCTGCAGGACCTGACTGCACATGAGGAGGCAATTCAGCCTTGATTTGGAGGTAAAAACAGAGACACATCTAAATGGTGCCAAGGACCGTAATGGAGGAACCCAGATCTAGAAGCTGCTGCAGTAGATTCATCCGTTTGTTTATTGATCATTTCAATCTGCCCTTCCAGTTTTGTAATTTTTCTTTTTTTTTGCAATGGTCACAGTTAAAATGATTAGCAGATTCTGCAACAGTTTTCTTCCCCACTTCCATCAGACTGCTGCTGCTGCTGAAAACAACTATTTATCATGTCACAGACTCTGCATCACACTGATAACACCAAACCAAAAATACTGCATATTTGCACCATATATATTAATGCTCTGACATTCCATATCAATACATTTTTTGCACCATGTTTTTTTTTCTCCCCCACTCTGTTTGCATTTGATCGCTCCTGCTCTTTATGGAATGGAAATGTTCATTTACTGTCTGGAAAGCTGTACTAAATGAAATTGTTTTCTGTATTGATGTCCTTACCTTGTAGAACATTTGTTTTTCTCAATTGTGTTTTAGAACAAAAAAAAAGGTTTTGAAGTGCTTTTCATTGTTATTGTCATTAACATATGTTAGATTTCTTACAGATTTCAGTGAAGAGGTTTCACGTTCATGTTAGCTGCCATGCCCTGACAGTTTGTGCCTCCTTTGCTCTCCTATGTAAAACAGTCCAGATCCTCTACAGTCCAAGCTTTTTCTGTTTAGCAGCGATGGAGACCAGTCCTCATTGGGACCGTCAAAGCAGAAAGGTTTTGGTATCCTTACCCAGATTTGTGTCTCCAAACAATCCGTTGACTTCATGCTTGGCGTTTGTGTTCTGACATGCATATTTCTAGGTCTGTGTAATCAACCTTGGCTCAGGGGGTTTCCATTTAAGCTGTAGAAACACCTTAAAGGAATAGTACACCCAAAACATGATTAGCCTTCATTTTCTACTCACCCCCATGCTGAACAAAACTCTGGAGTACTTTTTTGATATCTCAAATGCATCTGGAGATCTGGGAGGCTTCTTGCTGTCTGCTGACATTCAAATAATGGAGGTGCCCAGCGCCCGAGGCAGAAAGGTCCATAAAAGTCCACAAAAAACGTGTCAATATTCCTCCATACTGCTCGTCCAATGTATTCCAAGTGTCCTGAGTGGGTAGCATCCAGAATTTACTCGAAACAAAGTCATTTAGAATGTTTTTAGAGCATAAACAGTAGTGTATAGGATTTCCTGAAAGCGCGCACATGCACGTTCACGACGCTACGGAAACCGGCAGACCAAACCAGCGCATTCAGCTCAGCAAAGAACTCATGCTCTTCCTCAACACTGAAGTCCTCAGACATTTTTCTTTCGTTGTTTCTTTCTTTGCACAGGTAAACAGCACATTTCTTTTTCTACGCTTGCATTATCGGCAGAGCAGACGCTGAATGCACACTTTCATCTGGTTTGGTCTGCCGCGGTTCCGTAGCGTCGTGAACGCGCATGTGCGCGCTTTCAGGAAATCCTATACACTACTGTTTATGCTCTAAAAACATTCTAAATGACTTCGTTTCGAGTAAATTCTGGATGCTACCCACTCAGGACACTTGGATTACATTGGACGAGCAGTATGGAGGAATATTGACACGTTTTTTGTGGACTTTTGTGGACCTTTCTGTCTCGGGCGCCATAGACCTCCATTATTTGAATGTCAGCAGACAGCAAGAAGCCTCCCAGATCTCCAGATGCATTTGAGATATCAAAAAAGTACTCCAGAGTGTTGTTCAGCATGGGGGTGAGTAGAAAATGAAGGCTAATCATGTTTTGGGTGTACTGTTCCTTTAAGGTACCTTTCAATTATTATTATAATTTTTTTTTTTACTTGTCATCCATTTGAAAACTCTGAAGTGTTATAGTAATTAGCAAGTGTTTGAAAGACAGATTTTAAACTTTCTAGAGTAAAACTAGAAAATTAGATTTGTAAAAAAGCAACCCTGTGAAAATAATGTGGTTTTTAGAGAACCAACAATAGTTTCAAATGCGGGAACTAAATTGGTTTATAAAATGTATTTCTCTTCTCTCTAAGTGCCATCATTAATGTGGAACTTTGCTTCTGTTGACATGTTTTACGTATGTGTGTCCCATTTGCTCCAGGAAGCTAGGAGCTACACAGGTGCAGAAGATTGTTCCAGAAGCGGGGTCAGTCAGGACCAGTTCTAGGCACAGTTACATCAGGAGAAATCATGATCTGAACACATTATGCTCAAACATATGGCTTATTAGTGCGGATGAGAGTTTTCTTCATGGGACTGGGGTGATAGAAAGATGTATTCCAGTTAAATGTGTCAGTTTATGGTGCAATCTTGAACAGATAAAACTATTAAATCCATTTCAGTATGAAAATAATGAATTGGCTATTTTTTGTTTTTTTATATTTTGTATATGCGTATTACATCTGTTACAGTTTACTAAGCTGAATAGCTGCTGTTCTTTAATGTGAATAGGGGGCAAATATTGATTTCTTCCTCTTTCTGCTCCCTTTATATATAATTTTAGTTTGTTACATTAACTATTATGGGTGTAAATAATTATCGTTTTGTATCGCTCCAACAGCCAACGATCCAATGCATCAAAACATCCGCCTTTTCTTTTTTTTCCTTTGGTCTATTTTTATCCATTTGCTCCTGGACGTAATTTTTTGACTCCCGTACTGCGGTGGCGATAATCCTATTTTGCCCTCCTACCTCGCTACTGCTACCATCTTTCTTGCACACACACACCTGCATAAATAGTAGGGAAGACAGACATGGCAGAGGAAAAAGATGACTTACACACCCCTTGCACGTTCAAGTCATTTGTGTGGAAGTATACTATTAACTTTTCACATCTATCACCGAGTGAAAGAAGTCAAATTAAACTGTGTGCTTCTACCCTAAAACCCACCCAGCTAGGGGGTCCCAGCTGAAGCAAAGCTCCTTCTGGTCACACCGAGTCCTTCTGAGGCAAACAAAGCCCCAAACCACAATAAGGTAGAAAATCAGGGGGGCAAACAGAAGAAACATGAATGAAAATTAAGATGTTCCTCATCCAAGATTGATCAACCAACATAACATTTATCTTGTTATATATATCTATATATATAGATATATGTATGAATAAATCAACTATTTTTTCTCAAGCAGGATGAACAAACAGTATAAACAGAGAGCTTTTTTTATGATTGGGTTTTTTCGTTAGATATTTGACTCCTCAGATCAGATATGGAGAAAATGCAGACATGCGGAGGTCTTTAGGAACTACTAAGAGTGGATACTGAGGTAAGCTTATTATAAATTGCTGAGATAATTCACAGCAACAGCATACAACTAGACGGTGTTGATATTGGAGTCTTTCCCATCCAGGTTGTTTTCTCTTCAGTGATGCACCAGGAGTCACTTCCATCCTTCTGTGATTGAGAAACACATCCACTGACAGGCTCACAGCTGGTGAACAGCAAAACATTAAACAAATCATGCAATATTTGCTCTTTCTTTTAATAGTTAACTATTTATAAGGTGTTCTACAACATAAATTATGATAGTGAAGCATTTCTGCTTCATCAAAGTTCATGGATTCAGCTTTTCCTCTCAGTGAAATGAAGCTCTGGCTGCTTGCAGGCTCATTTGCATGCTGATCGCTGATTGGCTGTTCGCTAGGAGCAGGGGAGGAGGTTGGTTTCCCGACAGGAAATCACAGCCTTATAAGGCGTTTGCTATGGAACCTTATGGAAGACGGAGGCGAGGAACTACCACACCAACCAGAAAAGCTTCTATTTTAGACAGAACACAGGAAGCATGGATGACAGACTGTGTTTGACTAAGGGGTGAAATTCCCCCAGAACATGTTTAATATTAAATCTACAACTAGACAATTGCTTAACATCGCCTCAGTCTGTACAACAGTGAGATCTTTCCATCGGGTTTTAACCCTTAAAGCCATTTATCAGACCTGGACTTTGTTTCTTTCTTCGTGTCTAAAAAACAAAACACCCAACATGTATGAGCAACATATTCCTCTATTAGAAAATTGCAATTTACAAGAAAAACATTTAGACATTTCTGAGTTGCAGTGGCAGCAGAATGATAAGTTTTCTTCTATTTACATCTGCAATAGTTGGAGTAGAACCGAAAGCAGAACGAACGAAGACTAATCTGGATGAGAATCAAACCTGCAGACATGATAATGGGACAACCGGCAGATTAGGTGCATCATCTGTTCAGTATATAGAGTGGAGGTTAAAAAAGCAGCAGTCACTCTGGTGGGAGTAAAACGATGATGAGTTTCCTGATCTTCTGGCGCCTGCTAGCGGATTACTGAAGTGCAGAGATGGAGTCTGTCTCCTCATTTCTTAGCTTTTCCTTTCCCCTTGCCTTTCCCCTTCCCAGACTCTTCCTTCTTCGCCTTAGTTGACTCTTTACTTGGTTTGGTCTTCTTTTGCTGCAGAGAAACCGAACCAGTGAATAAAAACATGAGCAGATGCTTTCCTTTAGCTCTGAATGTACTCACTTTGATCATAGCATCAGTTTTCAGGCCCTCTGCCTCGTCCTCAGACTCCTGATCCTCTGGGCCTTCCTCCCCTCCTAACTCCAGGTCTCCTCCACCTCTGCGGCCTTTCTTCACGGCTTGCAGGGAGTACGGCGCCCGGTGGACCTCTTTGTTGTACGCCCGTGTGAAAGCTGCCTTCACCTAGAAGGAGCAGAAAAAAAAAAGGGTCAGGCTGGGAGTAGGTGTAATAACAGACATGATGAAACTGGACCCCAGCTCACCTTGGAGTCTAGTTTGCTGTAAGGATCAGGCTGGCCGCCCCAGACACTGATCTCCATCAGGCTGTCCACGTCCTCCTTAAGGAGCTGGTAGTCGTCCAGGAGCTGCACGGCCTGAGCGGCGCCCTCTGCTCCCTGCCTCTGGAGCGGATGCAGCAGCGCCTGCCGCAGGTAATACAGGTAGTCCAGGTTCACAGCCTGCCTGCTGCTCAGGGTCCTGCAGGAGCAGTGAGCTTTAAACACCCCATTCAGGCTGAGCTCCAGAGAGAAAGATGGTCTAACAAGGCGGCTTACTTTAAGCTCATGTGTGAGGTGAGCTCTTGAACGATGCGGGAATGTTTGTTGGTAGAGGAGTTCTTGCCGAGCCAGCTGGGGAACACTGGGAACTGAGACATGTAGCCTCTCATCAGCTCGCCTGGCAGCACGCTGGCAAAGATGGCCTGTAAACGTAATCACGCTCTGATCATTTAATTAGGTTACATAAGGGTCCATGAGACACAAATGCTTCTGGTTAGACTGGATGATGTCTTTTTAAACATCTACCGTCTCCTTGGGAGACAAGAAAATGATCAATGATTTATAATCAGTTCTAAAATATTAAAAGAGACTCTACAGTATGAAAATCTGTAAAAATCAGGACAGTAAAAAAACACTGTAATGGCTTCCCTGTTTCAGTTAAACATCCCATCACCACCATCGGTACAGACACTAGGAAACACCACCAGGTATTATGAATCCTTATTATGTGTGAGTTTTCCTTTTAGATGCCCGTTCATCTGGATTTAGATGCCATTAAATCAGCTGATGGTGCTTCCAGCACTCATATCAGCTCCATTAGGAGCCCTATTTAAAATAACAGGGTGCAATCATGTTTTTATCATGGAAAACATTTTTATAACTGATATTTGAATTGTTTTTTTTTTCTTGTTGATTAGCTCCATATTAATCATTCAAAGTGTGAGTAATTATAATTTAAACACCACATTCGTCTTATTATAGAGATAAACGTCAGATTTCATCATCAAGCCTTTGCTCTGATTGAGATTTTAAAACCTAATTATGACAGAGCAGCTTAAAGTTTGCTACAGTAAAGGATTCACGGTTTATCCCAGTGCAGATGTTACCTGAGTGGGGAGCAGGGACCAGTTTTGTCCTGATCTGATCCTTCTGTCCACCAGGTCACCGTCAGCGATAGAGTCTGCGGTCTTACTGAGCAGCACCAGGTGGGACTTGGCATCACCGCTGTGAGGAGAGAAGAAAACAGGAACATTAGCAGGACTGCTGGACGGGAGTCTCTGCTGATCTGGACGCCTCCCTCACCGAGCCGCTGCTGGGCGCACGTGCAGGTAGTTCTCCTGAACAAACAGCGGCGCCAGCGAATAGTCGTGGAAAAAGAGGTCCGACTTGTCGATGAGGCTCATGTGCGCCGTCTCTTCGCCTGCGGCGAACACCTTCCTACAGACGTCGAACGGCCCCAGCTTCATGTCTTTGCGGGCGCTGGCTGCGTCAGACTTGCACTGGTCGTACGTCATCACCTTGTCTTTGGCCGACCACATGCTCAGGTTGTGAATCACCTGCAGACGTCGGCAGCGTGAGGAAACAAAGACAACGACCTCAACCTCACATGAAGACCAGAAGCTTCGACCGCTCTACCTGCCGCACGTCCTGGTTGGAGGCTAAGATGATCTCATTGAGAGCAGGAGGGGGGATCTTGATTCCCTCCTTAAAAGCAATTGACATCATGGCTCCCTGGAACAAATTAAAAGAATAAATAAAACAAGAGAAACAGTTTTATAGTTTTATGCTTCTTATAACAGCCAGAAATTATCAACAAAGTTATTTTTTTCTCTCAAATTTAGGTCTTTTGGTAGCCTTTTTTTTTTTTAATGGAGCATCTGTTTGTGTTTCTTTTAAGAATATAAAAGTGGAGAGGACTCCAACCTTGATCTGCTCCAGCCGCGGCCTCTGGAAGCGCAGGTCGAAGCAGTAGTTGGCCAAGGATCTGATCTTAGGGTGGTTCCGGTCGTTACACATGCAGATGATGGGAATCTTGGAGTTTTTGATCAGACCGATCATTTCCTGAAAGAGACACAACCGCCCGGTCAGATGCAAACGTTGGCCGTCAGTGAATAGACCTGGAAATGACTGATGAATTAACATTTCCTAAAACATCACCAGCCAATCAGACTGGGAGAAGAAGGGGCTCCTTTACCTGGATTCCTCCCCGGTCCTCGTTCCCAGCCATACCATCCACCTCGTCCATGATCAGGACGTGCTTACTGCTCACCGTCTGAGACGTCCCTGTGGGGCCGAGAGCAGCGGCTCATCGTGAGGGATCAACATTTTTATTTGCATCATTTACAAACAGAAATCAGGTTTGCGATTTACTGAGGAAGACGATTAGAAACCAAACATGTAGAGCGGATTCACAGTTTCTGTCTCAAAGCGGGTATGAATGGTTGATAAACCATTTTTAATCAATTTATTGACATTTTCTGCTTCTAAAATTTTAATTTCAGGAGGATTTGGATATTTTTTTTCCACTAACACACTCCTTTTGCTTATGGAGGTCCGAGGAACGTCATCCTGTCAGCTTTTGTTCTCAGGCTTTTATTAAAAACTGATCAATTTCCTTCTTTCGTAATATTCTGGCTGCAAACCTGTTATGGTTCATTATTTGCCATTTTATCAAGAACATTTATTGTCTCAATGAAACCATTTTGCAAAGAAGTTGAAGGTGTTCTTATGTCAGTCTGAGCTGGATTTAATGCAGCTGGACTGTTTTTGCTGATGGAAGAAGGTCAAATGCTGGTTAGGAGGGATCTGTAGCAAAGCTTTTGGTTCTGGAGTCCTTTATTTATTTAATCAGGACAGAGCACATTAATGAACAATATTTTGTTCTTTCTGTACAGATTGTAAATAAGCCAGATTATAGCATAGTTGCTAATTTACATCTGTCGTCCTGAGGCAGGAAGACAAAACAACACCAGATCTCATAATACAATATCAGTCAAAACACAGACACACGTTCAGACAATGACATTACAACAATGAAATTAGTGAGTGCATGACTGGGAGCTTTTAAGAAACTGTTTAAGCTGCTTTTTAAATGTGCAATAAGTGGGAGATTCCCTGATGTTTGTTGGGAGGCTGTTTTTAGAAGTGATGAACGGTTTGTCCAAAGGTTGTTCTTCTGTGGGGGATCTATAGGTCTCCTCTGGAAGAAGCTCTGGTGCAAATACATCTGCCAGGTCTAATGTAGGTAGAAAGTGGAGGCGGGGCTAATCCATTCAGAACTTTGTAAATTAAACAACTATTTTTTTAAATGAATTAAATTTTCAAAATTGAGCATATGATATTTTTCCAAAATATTACACTAATGGAATGACAGGGGCTTTGATCATAATATTGCTATTGGTTTTAAAATTGTGTCTCCGGTGAGTGGGGAGGTTGTGATGCAGCAGTCTATGTGTGAAAATATCATTGAGTGTATGAACATTTTAGCAGAACTGTTCAGCCCCCCCCCCACAATCCCCTGTATCAACAAAGTCTTAAAACGTTGATAATTTTTCATCTTTGTACTTTAAATTTATCCTCACATTTAATTCTTATTCCAGTCTCTTCTGGACTGTTGTTAGAAGAGTCCTGATCTAATTTCTCTATTAGAACGATGGAGGAAGACATTCAGAACTGCTTCTTTAAATCAGCAGTCAGTTAAAAGGGGAAAAGTAACTGTTCCTAGTGCTTGAATCCTAACTGATCAATCTGAGTCTTTTTGGACCCAAACTGGATCCAGAAACTGACCTTTGTAAAAGTTCTCGATGCTGGTGTTGTTCAGCGACTCGGCTACGACTTCCTTCAGGCTGTTTTTGCTGCGGGTGCAGCTTGCGTTCATCTCCACGTAGCTGAAGCCCAGCTCCTTCAACAGCAAAGCATATTTAATGAGCCCCCGGATAAATCAACAGCAGTCTGCTCAGAGGACGTCGGCATGTTCTCAGACTGACCTCACAGACCAGAGCCGCTGTGGTGGTCTTCCCCACCCCTGGTGGGCCAGAGAGCAGAGCAGCTTTGTATCCTGAACCGTCATCTTTCCCTCCTCCAAACTTACCGTACCTTGGCGCTAAAGGAGACCGAGAGAACATTCAGAACCGGCAGATTTCAAACAGTTCAGCCTCCATTATATGAGGTCAGATGACTTTTCTGCTACCTGCTGGTTTGCCCGTGCCTCCGCTGTGGTGCTTGTGCCAGTTCTGCAGCCAGCGAAGCAGCTTGTTGGCACAGCTCTGGTCCCCTTGCTGGCCGATCACAGCCTTCAGAGAACGTGGACGATACTTGTCCACCCACAGAAGAGTGGCAGCCTCCCCCTGGGGTGATGGGGGTCCTGGAGCTGAAGATGAGGAGGAAGAGGGAAGGCCCAGTTCCCTGCGGGCCGTTTGTCCGGAGCCTCTCCCTGATGGGGTGCTGCTACCACTGCTTTTGGATCCTCGGCTCAGCGCCTGGCCGGTCTTCGATGGGCTCGGGGTCTGAGGCGAAGTGGAGTTACCCTTGGAGGGAGAGGTCTTCTGAGCTTTGGGGGTGCTCTTTGAGCTTTGACTTGAAGTTGATCCAGTTTTTGAAGCTTTGCTCTAAAGGAAGCAAAATATCCAAAATATGAAAAAAAACATTAATCAGAAAACAGCCCAGAACCAGAGGATCCATTCAGAGTAGATAAAAGGCTTTCTGCCTAAAACTGATATCTGTAGACTTGGCTTTAACAAAGCCTGCGGTCACAATAACACCTTACTGTGATGGTGCTTTGGTCAAACAGGAACGTTTAAACCAACAATAAGTACTTTAAACCTTTTTTCATCACCTTTGACCTAAAAGCAGCTGAAAGACGCCTCTGTCACAGCCCAGGGGTCTGTGTCGCTTTCATTCGCAATAAGCACCTTATGCGCTGCTGCTCATGGGAAATGCTGTCTTCCCTCAAACAAAAAAATTCAGCTTTTGTCCACTGGGTGGAACCAAAGTTGACCAAAACTGAAATTTCTTAAGTTCTGCTTTAAATCTTTGGACACATAAAGAACTCCCCAGTTAATGTTCTTTAGGTTAATTTTATACTGGTTTATCTGCTATACTGGAATAAAATCACCTGCTAAAAACATTTATGTATTTTATATGACTCTTTCTTTAGTACAGTAGCTAATGGGGAAAAAAACATTCATGAATATTTAGCGCCTTGTGGTTTATCAACAAGCTCACTAATATTTAACATCACAACTGCTTATTTTGTATTTTTGGCATAAAAAAAAAAAAAAAAATATATATATATATATATATATATATATATATATACATATACACTCACCGGCCACTTTATTAGGTACACCTGTCCAACTGCTCGTTAACACTTAATTTCTAAGCAGCCAATCCCATGGCGGCAACTCAGTGCATTTAGGCATGTAGACATGGTCAAGACCATCTCCTGCAGTTTAAACCGAGCATCAGTATGGGGAAGAAAGGTGATTTGAGTGACTTTGAACGTGGCATGATTGTTGGTGCCAGAAGGGCTGGTCTGAGTATTTCAGAAACTGCTGATCTACTGGGATTTTCACACACAACCATCTCTAGGGTTTACAGAGAATGGTCCGAAAAAGAAAAAACATCCAGTGAGCGGCAGTTCTGTGGGCGGAAATGCCTTGTTGATGCCAGAGGTCAGAGGAGAATGGCCAGACTGGTTTGAGCTGATAGAAGGGCAACAGTGACTCAAATAACCACCCGTTACAACCAAGGTGGGCAGAAGAGCATCTCTGAACGCACAGTACGTCGAACTTTGAGGCAGATGGGCTACAGCAGCAGAAGACCACACCGGGTGCCACTCCTTTCAGCTAAGAACAGGAAACTGAGGCTACAATTTGCACAAGCTCATCGAAATTGGACAATAGAAGATTGGAAAAACATTGCCTGGTCTGATGAGTCTCGATTTCTGCTGCGACATTCGGATGGTAGGGTCTGAATTTGGCGTCTACAACATGAAAGCATGGATCCATCCTGCCTTGTATCAACGGTTCAGGCTGGTGGTGGTGGTGTCATGGTGTGGGGAATATTTTCTTGGCACTCTTTGGGCCCCTTGGTACCAATTGAGCATCGTTGCAATGCCACAGCCTACCTGAGTATTGTTGCTGACCATGTCCATCCCTTTATGACCACAATGTACCCAACTTCTGATGGCTACTTTCAGCAGGATAATGCGCCATGTCATAAAGCTGGAATCATCTCAGACTGGTTTCTTGAACATGACAATGAGTTCACTGTACTCAAATGGCCTCCACAGTCACCAGATCTCAATCCAATAGAGCATCTTTGGGATGTGGTGGAACGGGAGATTTGCATCATGGATGTGCAGCTGACAAATCTGCGGCAACTGTGTGATGCCATCACGTCAATATGGACCAAACTCCCTGAGGAATGCTTCCAGCACCTTGTTGAATCTATGCCACGAAGAATTGAGGCAGTTCTGAAGGCAAAAGGGGGTCCAACTTGTTACTAGCATGGGGTACCTAATAAAGTGGCCGGTGAGTGTATATATATATATATATATATATTAGGGCTGCAACAACGAATCGATAAAATCGAATTTTAAAAGCGTTGGCAACTAATTTCATCATCGATTAGTTGTGTCGCGCGATTAATGCGTCATCCGCCGCCGTCGTCATTGCCGTGAGGCGCCTCCCCCATCCCAACCCCGTTCTCCCGCTCCAGCAAGAGTCCCTCTCAGCGCTGCAGTCAGAGCCGCAGGATGTTTACCCTCAGCGTCCAGACTGCAAATGAAGCGCGCATGCGCCGGGATTGACGCCGCAAATTGATCACAATAATTAAAATAGCCTGCGCTTTGTAAAGCGAAAAAAGTCGTAACATGCAACTTTTGTAAAAACAAATTAACATGGCGCGGAAGCACCACTGTTATGACGCAGCACCTGAAAAGAAAACACGTTGGAGCCTTCAATGGCAGTGAAGAGAGCAGATCAGCAGGATGAGTAACCATGTTTGTTTGGTTTTAAAGTGGGGAAACGTAACGTTAGTTTCTCAGGTAAGCTAATCTGATGCTTTCCTTAGCTTGTTAGTAGGTTACAGACAGTGATAAGGTTGGCTACTTATTTTACTTTTAATTTCATTTGAATTAGCTTAAGCAGTGTTTATATTTTCTTTATAAATAAAATAACTTGCAAATTATGAGGGCAAGGCTTTTAAAGTTTAAATCTTCCGGCAAAGATAAAGTAAAGAAGATTCTGCAATTTATGGAAGTAAAGCAGAATAAAATCCAGCAAGATCAGTAATATGTCAATTAATTATCTGCCACATTCCCATGTAAATATCTGTCTTTGGTGGATGTGTTTTTTAGCACCCCTAGTTCTCTCATTTTTATTCCAAATACAATTTATAATTTGAATCACAGGGCTATTTTTATCTCTATGGTTCAGTATTTTCTCAAGTAGCAACTTTAACTGCTATACTTTCCTGTTTTAAAAGGCAGAACTCTTCTAGTCTAAAAAAAACTCATTTGTTGAAATGGGGGGGCCTATTGTTTGAACCCCTTAGGGGCTTTAAAAAACAAAAATGTCTCTTTTTGCGCTTTATGAAACAAAGTACCCTATATTTTGTGGATGTACAGCTACATTTCTCATGTAAGTTTGCGTAGTTTTAACACAATTATTTTTCATATTGCACCAGTACAGTTAATGAGCAACCTGTACTTGTGTGCTTGTTTGTTCTGTCTAAAATTTTTATTTTGGAATAAAGAGGTTAATATAAAAAATATTTTTTGTCCGATTCATCAATTAATCGAAAAAATAATCGGCCGATTCATCGATTTTTAAAATAATCGTTAGTTGCAGCCCTAATATATATATATATATATATATATTTTTTTTTTTTTTTTTCTACACTTTTCAATGACAAAATTGAAGAAAAAAACAAAACATGCTTTTACATCTAAAGTGACGCCAACCGAGTCTCATTTTACTCCCCATCACAAAAATCACAGCAGTTTATTCTTTTGGTCAGATTTCCGGGATAAACAAATCCCTAAATAAATAACATTCAACTGACAGGTAATGTTATGGGTGGTTTATTTAGCTATTTATTTATTTGTAATATTAAGCAATATTAAGCGCGGAAAACTAGACAGAAGATCAAACGAAGGAGAGGACGGGCAGCAGCCTGCCTTCATGTGTTTTAAGACTCGGGTTGGGATTTGAATAGAAGATGCACGCGGTTTGGTAACCATCCTACCGGGTCCAGGCGAGGGTGGATTTGTGAAACAGGACTCTGACAATGCTCATCAGGGCATCGTTATAATTTGTCCGGTGACATGCTTAAATTTCATGAACCAATAAAGTAAAAAATAAGCTAAATAACCAAATCCTGTGTCAACCAGAGTTCAACACAAATCCTGTTACAACCCTATTTTTTCACAGTATAGAAGTACTCTGACCTCGGCTTCTGCAGCAATCTCATACTTTGACTTCTTTCCTGGTTTGGTTCGGATCAGCTCCAACAAACCGTCCTCATCCAGGATCTTGGTACCTAAACTCTCAGCCTGAAAAGGAGAACAAACAGGTTTAACAATAGGGCTGGGGATTTTTAACCTGACAACAGCTAGATGCATGTCTCGCTCCGCCTAGCTCCAGGAACTAGGCGGAGCGAGACATGCATCTAGCTGTTGTCAGGTTAGGGGATTTTAGCAAAGTCCTGAATCGATTCGATTTTGATTCATTCAGTTCTAAATCGATTAATTTGGATTCGATCTGTTTTTACATTAAAGTGGTTCATCTGTGTTTCAAAATACTCATGTATTTAATTTTTTCCTGTCATATTAAACACAAAGTGAAACTTGTAAATCAGACAGTTTAAACTTGAAAAGTGAACAAAACTGTCTCAAAAGTGCAAACTCATTCCCTAGACATCGATTTTGCAAAAATGTAAAGGAATCGATGCAAAATCGATTAAATCTATGTTTTTTACCCAGCCCTATTTAACAAGAATGGACCTAAAATAATAAAAAACATTCCTGATCAGAGTATTGAGGATTTTGTTTTAACAATTAGACCTTCATACCCGTTATTTGATTTTTCCAGGTATTAAAATGGTGCAAAACACTGACGTCTTTCTTTTAGCCACTTTTAAAACGGAAAAGATTGGAAAACATGTGGTTCAACTGAGACAGATGAGTGTTGGATGGGATAGGAATTAGGAAGATCTATGAGAAAAGAACCCTTTTCATGAGGGAAACATGATTTCACAGACATTTTCTTTATAAACGATTTAATCCTGCCCAGTAAGGCTGCCATCGTTTATCCTGTATCAGTCTGATTGTGGCCGGAGGCTTAATGTTTTCCGAACCCTTTCCCATTTATCCTACATCCATCTGTGTAAAGAAGTGGCAGCCAGTGAACCTGCAAATGACTGACATGATAAATACTCTAAAGCAGGGGTCTTCAACGTCTTCAAAGCCAAGGACCCCCAAACTGATTGCGAGATGGAGCGGGGACCCCCTAATTATATATATTGTATGAAATGGTGTTATATCAAACTGATCCTATAGTCACTCTATTACAGATGGAGTAATGTAACGAAAGTAATTTCTCCCTGGGATTATTAAAGTATTTCTGATTCTGATTCCTGGTTGATGGGACAGGTGTGGATGAAATGGTGCCCAGGTTTGAAAGAGCTCCTGTGTGTCGATGAATGTGTGCATTGATGACTGAAAGACATCTTCTGCTTTCATTTATCTGTTTACTACAGTGTGTTGAATTCATGTTAATGTGATTTAAACCCTAACCCCATCCAGTACCTCTGCGGACCCCCTGTTGAAGACCTCTGCTCTAAACTAAAAAGTCTTCCTCTGTTTCATCGAGGAATATAATAATTAAAACCCTTATGAACCTTCATCATCTGCTCAGAAGGACGGGTGGCTCACCTTTTCAAGCTTTGACACCCCGCTGTCTCTGCCCTGCACCAGGTAGGTGGTCTTCTTGCTGACGTTGCCCGTCACTTTGCCTCCGTAGCGCTCGATGAGAGTTTTGGCGTCGTCTCTCTCCATCGACTCGAGGACTCCTGTCAGCACAAACACGCAACCCTCCAAACAGTTCTCCGCTCCCTGCAAAGGAAAGAAAACTTGAGGCTGGTTCTGGTGAATCGCTGGGTTCCTCGTCCCACTGGTGACGTTCCACCTTACCTGTGGGATTTCCTTGGATCCCAGAGCTCGTGGTCCGTCCCTGTTGAGGAAATTCCTGAAAGCTAAAGAGTGCATCTTCTTCTTCTCTGCATCTTCAGGACTCGTACTTGTGCTCTGGGTGAGAAACAGAACTTTAAAGTGGCTCAGTGATGTCCTCTTATGATGTGTTAAATTAGTTAAGCGGAGCGTTTTCCTGGAGGAATAGGCATGCCCTTACCTCGGGCTTCTTTGGAGACGTTTTAAGTGCAGTCGGTGTGGTTCCTGTTTTAGGTGTGAACTTCACGTCTGAAATCGAAGATGCCTTGGGCTCCTTCTTTGGAGAAATTCTATTTTTAATGGGCGAATTTAGCGCTTTACTTTTCGCTCCTTCATCCTTTTCCTCGTCCCGTTTCTTCATCATAGCCAGCTTGGAGCTGGATTTGGCCGGAGCAGGACTCTTCTTGGGCGACGGACCAACCACGTCCCCTGAAGGGCTTCGACTGCTCTTCATCGGGCTGCTCTTTTTGGGGGTCGTGGCTGGTTTTTCCTCAGAGTTTTTGCGAGACTTTGGAAGGACACAGAAAATATTTTTATATTCCCCTAATCAAAGAGAGAACACACATTTTGAATCAAATCACAGCAAACTGTTACTTTTTTGGCTTGAGGCTCTGTGTCCAACATGGCCAACGTTCTGGCAAACTCCTCATCCTCATGGATTCGTTTTTCCATCTGTGTGGGAGAAAAAAAACAACAACAATCATTTAAAATCAACAGGAATATTTGTGGATAAAAAGGTTTTAGATGCTGGAGTTTCATAGGTAGTGACCATGAGGTTCTACAACAGCTTATAGAACCACCTTAAGCACGTCTCCTTTAGCATTTCTCTCCCGTAGCAGAGACTGATATCTTCCTATAAAAAGCCTTGTGTTTGTCACCTTTCAAGCTTTGACATTTCCCAGTTAGATTTAGGTCTAGACGGTGAACGGCCTCTTAATCGTGGTTAAAAATGATCAGGAGCCCACTAATGGTTTTTAATATAATTCATTAACAAATACTCTTCTTAGAAGCTTTCTCTGGTGTTTGTAAAGAAAATGTGAATCCAGTTTTCACTACAGAATGATATTGAAGAATCAGAAACTGTTTTTTTATTATAACATATCCTATAGAACAAAAGCAAAAATCAATGTTTCCTGTTTATTAAACTTTAATGTTATATCTTTATTGAAAAAAAAAAGCAAACAAACTGTTTAAAATGGCAGAATATTCCCTTTTGCAGGATTTTAACAAAAGGAAGGCTCTGAATGACTTCAAGGTGAAATGGTTCTCTGGATTAGAAAGTATGCAGACCCCCTGGACTAGACCATCCCAACACACAACATGTTTTAATCATAGCAGCTCCTGGCTGTGAGTTTAGAAACACTGTGAATGGAAGTGGAACTCAGAATCTGATACAGTCACTGTGTTGGGCTCCACCTGTCTTTCCCAGCTGCCCTTCCTTTGATACAGCAATAATCCCACAGCATGATGCTTCCACCTCCCTGTTTCAAGGCATTCTACAAACATTTTCCACCATACATGTTCTGCAAGCGAGTAGTAAAGGTTCTGGCTAAATAACCTGCCTGCAGGTGGTAACAGAGTTATGGTGATCTTCCAGCCACTGTTCCATAAGTGGTAAAAGGTCTGTATTTATATAGAGCTTTTACAAGTCCAAAGACTTGATCAAAGGGCTTTACACTACACTCAGTCATTCACACACACTGATGGAAGCAAGTTCCATCATAGCCACAGCTGCCCTGGGGCTCGCTGACAGAAGAGAGGCTGCCATACAGAGGGCTCTCTGCACCATCAGAAGGCCATGCGGGTGATGTGTCTTGCCCAAGGACACAACCACACTGTAACCCAGAGCCGGGGCTTGAACTAACAACCTTTCAGTTGCACGGTAAACTCCTGCTTCTGCCACCCCGGACCATTTGACCTTTGTTTCCTGATCTAACCCTGCTTCAAACTTCTGTCTGACCCGTCCGCTGTGTTCCTGCAGGGTTTCTGAATTAATTTGCAAATATAAGTCTTTGCTTTCTATTGCAAATTAATCAAATCAACAAGCACCTATAACAATTCAAATGTAAAGACGAACTGTGGAAATTAAATGCATTCTAAGGTGCCCTAAGAAGATGAATTGAGGACACAGCAATATAAAGGAAAAGGGACCAGACTGAAAATATTAAGCAACACAGAGACTGCAAAAACACCTGCTAGAAAAAAATGATGAATTTAGAAAAGAGGATTAATGCACGTGTCTCAGTTGGCTCCCTTTTCAGTTTTGACTCAGTTCTCAGGTCACTGCATTTGTCCTCTAACCCTTTTTGGGCCTAATTTCCTTTCAGCCTGCTGAGCTAGTCTATCAGCATCTTTCTGAAGTGACACACACAGTTATTTGAGCTCAACCTCTGCTCTCTCTTCTGCCTTTCTTATTCAAGGTGGAACCTGTACCTGGCCCTGCTCTGAGCTTCCTGTACCTGATCCTGACTGAAGCTGCAAATGTCAGCCTCCCAAGCTTTACCATCCATCATACCAAACAATTTTTTTTATTAATGCTTTAAAACACTGCGAACTTCTTCTCTATCTTTACCATGTGCTCATTAGACCTTACCGATCTCCTGGTGAATGCTTCAGCAAACGTCAGGTGTTACCTAGTAAATATAGGTACAGATTTGTGCTAATGTCTCTGTTTGAACTGTATAACCTGCCTTTGGAAGAATCCAGTCTCACTTTTTTACATTTTCTTTGTTTGTTTTATAATTTTTTTTATAACTGTTGTTGGCATTAATTATACACCTTGCCGATGGACAACAGTTGAAGACTAGCCTTACAGCAAACACTGACACTTACAGAAATGTTCATTAATGTTTACTTTCCCTGACAAATACATACATTAATAATAAATAAATCAAAAGGCTGCAGTCATGCCCTTAATTGCTAAGTTTCCAGCCACTTTTATGGGAAGTTGCATTTTTTCACTGCCTCAGCGTTCCAAGTCTCTTTCCAGACATCAGGCTTTAAGAACAACCGGAAGCCATTCTCCAATAAGTATTTTAATTCCATTTAGGTCCTTAAAGGTAAAGTGGAGGATGTTCCTTTTCTGGGTGGATCATGAAAATAAGTGGTCCTCCAAATTGTCAATCATTCTGGTGATATGTTTACGTTAGGTCGTCCCACGTGCTCGTCCCCATTTTCACTTACCGGTGGTTAGTCTGACATAGTGGGAAAAATTGCAAATCTTCTTTTTGAAAGATGCAAACAGCAACTGTTAAACAGAGCATACACAAGGAGAAATGGGCTCCTGCACGTGTTTAATAAGCATGTACATTTTTCTTAAAAGTTGATTTTTTAAAAATTCAAGAAAATCCTCCACTATACCTTTAATATATATATATGTTTTACTTTTAATGCCTTTTGATGACCCACATAAACCCTGCCTAGGGTATCCATATTGCAAGTTGTTCTCCCACAAACCCGAGGCCTTCACATATCAAACAGAACTGAATATGCTGCATTTTTCAGACTTTCAATAATTAACAAAATGTAATTATTGTGCCGTCTTCCCTCCACATAACATGTAATACTTTGTTGTTCCTTAACGTAAAAAGCATTTACCTTCACAGCTGTAATATGACAGTGTTAAAAAAAATAGAAACTCGAGGGGGTGTGTAAATTTTGGGAAATTGTCATATCAGATGTCAATGTCAGTTTTTTAGAAATAATTTCTGCTGTTTTCAGTTCTGAACAGATCCCTCGCCCCCAACTGTTTCACACTGATGGTGCAAAGAAAGTGGTTCATGTAGCCAACATATGCATGCAGCTGCAAAGAGCAGCTCTTTAAGAAAAAAAATAACTATGTCAGAAGAACCTCAAGAGGAAATAACTTCTCTGAGCTGCATTTAGATGACAGAAAAGTAACAATAGGAAAACAAAACAACAGTTTTATGTGGAAAAGAACCTGCAGCAGATGACCCTCTTACCTCCATGTCCTCTTCCATCTGCAGCTGCCGGGCCATTTCCTCGTCACTGATCAGGTCATCAGAGTCTTGGGTCGGCTGAAGGAATACAGAAGGTTCACAAAGTCAGTCTGCTGCCTGAGCATCTCTATTCTATAGAGTATAAAAAGCATCAATGAGGATGATGAACTGACAGCCTTCCGCTTGGCGCTGGCTACCAGCTTCTTGTCAGAGCGGTGGATCTGTCCGCTGCCGAAGTAGTCGAGTACAGAGGTGGGAGTCTGCTTGGGTTGAGGAGGAGGAGCTAGCTTAGGGGTTGTAGGAGCTTTGGGGCTCTTGATCCCTGTTTTCCCCTGACTGGAGGAAACCTTCGCAGGGGACTTTTGCCGCTCTTTGATTTTTGGACTGTCTTCTTCTGACTTTTTATTGGTACAGTTCTGTTTGGACTTGGAAGCCTTCTTCAGACTTTGGAAGTTGTCATTATCCGAGTCTGCAAGTTGAACAGAAACAGATGTCTTCTTTAAAGACTGAATCCTTTTGATTTTGCAAGGATTTATAAAAGGGTGCCTGACCTGTTTCAGAGACGTACTGAACAGGGTCCTTCTTAGGAGGGGGCTTTGCTCTGCTGGTGGCAGCTTTCTCTTTGGAGGCTTTCTTAGTCTTCATCACTGGCTCTTCCTCCTCTGCTTCAGAATCTGAGCAGAGCGACAAACAAAGATCACATGTTGATCATTGCTGATCTTATTTTCAGTACATGATATAAGTCAAAAGGCTTTTCCCCCTCCATCATTCTGAAGACATACAGAAAAAATCCCTACAATGTTTTCTGGAATCTTGATTATTATTAAAATGATTAATAAGAGTTATTTTTTGATGCATCTAAATCTAATTTGAAACAAGATCTACAGCGGGGATCTTCAAAGTTTTCCAGGCCAAGGACCTCTAAACTGATGGCGAGATGGAGCAGGGACCCCCAAATTATATATACTGTAGGAAATAGTGTTATATCAAACTGGTCCTATAGTTACTCTAATACAGATGGAGTAATGTAACGAAAGTAATTTCGCTCTGAGATTATTAAAGTATTTTTGATGCTGATTCCTCATAGATGGGACAGGTGTGAATGAAATGGTGCCCAGTTTGAAGGAGCTCCTGCTTGCCTTCTTCTGCCTCCATTTATCTGTTTACTACAGTGTGTTGAATTAATATAAAAAAAAGTCTAATCAAACAAAACTTTCGCGGCCCCCATGCAGCACCTTTGTGGACCCCCTGCTGAAGACCCGATCTACAGCAACAAAAAACGTGTAGCTCTATGGCATCAATAGTTTTTATGAAGTGGGTGTGTAGGCCTAGTGGGTTAGAGCAGTGCACTTGTGTTCTGGGAAGGTTGAAAGTACCCGGTTTGTCCCTGAGCAAAACCCTAACTTAACTCCTGATTGCTGCAGGGGCGCTGCACAATGGCAGCCCACTGCTCCCCACAGGGATGGGTTAAATGCGGTGAACGAATTTCCCCACTGTGGGACAATAAAGAGATTTACATTACATTACATACATAACCAGTAGGGGGAAGGTTCTGGGTTTGATTCCCGGCCCGGGGTCGTTCTGCATGGAGTTTGCATGGTTTCCCTGAGCATGCGTAGGTTCTCTCCGGGTACTCCGGCTTCCTCCCACAGTCCAAAAACATGACTTTCTAAATTCTCCTTAGTGTGTGAGTGTGAATGGTTTGTCCTGTTTGTTTCTGTGTTGCCCTGCTGGTGGACTGGCAACGTGTCCAGGGTGTACCCCGCCTCTCGCCCATTGACTGCTGGAGATAGGCACTAGCACCCCTCGTGACCCCACTCGGGACAAGCGTGTCAGATGATGGATGGACATAACCACTAGGAAGTTCATCATCTCAAGGACCCCAACTCTGGAAATCACTGATTTCCTGTCAGAAATAAATGTCCATACCGGATTCTATGACTTGACGTTTCTTTCTTTTCTTGTCGCTGCCTTTGTGACGATCCCCATTTTTGGAGCTTTTGACCTGAAGGACATGAATAAAGATAGAGTGTAATGAACAATAAAAAAAAAGAAAGAAAACAAGCTTTTCCACATTGTGGATGATAATATTTTCTTGCCTTAGAGGTCTCTTTCTTTTTTACATTTTCTTCTGAGGAACTCTTCCTTTTCTTCTCATCTGGTTTGACTTCTCCATTAGGGGCAGGCTTTCCTGTCACTGGTCCAAAGAACCGCCTAATATCCTGTACACAAAGTATTTAATGATGCAAATTAAAACATAGAACAGTTGTAACGTTTTCAACCTCCAACAGATCCCTCAGGCATTTTAAAAACACATCAGTGATGCAGATAAAACACACAGAAGGCTGAAGGTTTCATTAGAGCTCAGAAGCTTTCACTCATTCGGAATAAGAACCTGCAAATGGATCATTTTTTAAACCAAAAAACAGGGGGAAAAAATTAAAAATTATATTTTAATGCTCATTTCTAGTGCAGCATCATAAGTTTTCTAGCTGGTGTGGTTTAGCAGCAGCTAAAGCTGGGTGCAGCTCTAACCAGTCGGTATTATTTCCGCTTTATTTAACCTCTGTGTGTTTCTGCAGCTCCTGTTCGCAGCGGTTAGAAGCTCAGACTGTTACCTACCATGATGGACCCGCTTCTCTCGCACTTTGCTCGCAGGTTTGTAGCAGAAAAGTCAGAAATTCTTTCAGCTGCTTGGCGCGAAGCGCTGCCGCGGTCGCTAGGAGATGACGTAACGGGAGCGATTTGGCCGGTTTGCGTCAGACGTCATCAACGGGGTCTGAGTTATTTCATAAATCAGAAACAAATAAACTGGACATAAAAATTTTATATTTAACCAAAAATTATCCCTAAAAAAGAGATAATACTTGGGGGTGGCGTCGTATTCGCTGACTATTATGTTAAGATACCCTAAATGTTTTTTTCTTTTAAAAAAAATATCAAATTTTTGTCACTTTTTGTTCTTTTCTATTCCTCATGTACAGCCCTTTGAATGGCCTTGCTACTGAAATGTGTTATATAAACTTTTCTTTATTAATGTGAATCATTCTTCCTTCAGTTCTTTAGTCTGAACAGGAAGTTGTGTACCAGTATTTGTTGTGTTCTTAGTCCTGTTTTTGCATTTCTGACACCATCCCTGCAGAAACAAAGACCCTTTAACTACCATCACTTTGTTCTGCAGGACCTTCTTATTGCTGGAGTTTTTATTCCTTGTTCCCAACATTCGAAACTTCTGTAGTTGACTTGGTCAAAAGTTCAAAGCTCTTAAAAAGTTGACTTAAGTACTTTTCTGACATTTGCTATGACGCTCAAAATGCTAAGATACTAATCAGTATTAGTGAAAGGATAAGACCTAAAACATCTACATCAGGTGAGTGGTGTCTGGAATACCAACAGGTTCACTGATGAGTTACTTGGGAGGATCCTGTTCTTCCAATAACATTTTTATAAGCAGGCTTATTTTGGGAGTGGCAGCTTAGCGGTTAGGACATAGAGCTTGAAATTCTGAGTTTGAGCCCCACTGCCACTGAGAAAGACCCTTAACCCACACTGCTCTCTGGGCGCCCCATGATGGCAGCCCACTGAATCCCCAACGGGATGGGTTAAATTCAGAGGTAAACTTCTCCAATGTGAGATCAATCAAGTTCAATTATGTTTCAGTTAGTTTCTCAGATTTGTCTGAATATTAAAACAGATTTCTTAGACCTGTTCGAGGACTAACATTTTAAAAACACACCTGGAGCGTCTAAACATAACAGTATTTTCAGGTTAACTTGACATATGGGTAGATTTAGAGCTTAACAGAGTTAGAATAGGAAAGCTTCAAATGAAGGAAAACTTGGAAGTGTTAAAGAAAAATGATTATTTTTTTAGACTTTAATACAGTTAATCTTATGGCATGTGTAAACACTCTCACTTGAACATATTTCTTAATTTTGAACAAGGCTGTGTTAATGATTTAAAACTACTAATGGGTAAGTATTTAGACCACCAGCCCATAGAATGAGTATCTCCTGGGGGGTGAATAACAGTTAAGCCTGCAGGAGAGATTTCTGCTTGGTTTACAGAAGGTCAAAAGTCTTCCAGAATAAACAACCAGGGATGGTGAGGCCCCCCGCATTCCACAAGCTGTCTGTGAGAGCTTATCTTGTGTTTTATGACTTTAGGAATTCTAGATGCCAGGACAAGCTTTCCGCCTTTTCTTGTTAAAACAAAGAAGCAAATGACCCCAGATGTTTGCAGTAAATAAGGGGAAGCCCTAGCAGTGTCAGAGATGGCGTTTGGTTGGAGGACCGAGGGCCAGCCCCTTTTTGAATGGATTAGATACAAGAGGATAAAGCTTTCTAAATAGAAGAAAAAGATCAGATTTGCCCTTGCAACTCTCCAAAGATGTCTCTGTACTCTTTGCTTTCTTTCCTCCTATGTCAGGTAATGGAATGTATGTCTCTGTTGTTCTGCAGTTTCTGGTGTAGGTTTGTGCATTGTCTTATTTCTAAAGTGTATGCATTGTCTTATATTGGATTAAACTCTGTAATTCTGTGACGTCAACACGCAATGTTGGTTTTATTACCAAACGCAGCTCGCCGAGTGGACCTGGGGAAGGGAAGAATCAGAAGCCAATCTTTTTCCAAAGTTAACTATGTTAGAATATTTTCTTCCTTTACAGAAGCAGTTGAGACAACCACTGATTTCTTTTAAGACTAGCACGCCGGTTTTAGTCCTCACTTTAAAGTATGGTACAATGCTCAAAATTGGGAGCAACAGATGCATCACAACATCCCTGGAGAACCAGCTTAGAGTTTAGCATCTTCTTTGGACCATCTTTAAATAATGACTTTGTCCAATTTACAGCCAGTTTCCTGTTTTGCATCTCTGAAAGTGAAACACCTTTCTAGCATCTGTCCCCTTTATATCAGCAAGTAGACATCGACCTCAACTGCATTACCGTTTAGCTACAGGTGCTGGCCATAAAATTAGAATATCATGAAAAAGTAGATTGATTTCAGTAATTCCATTTAAAAAGTGAAACTTGTATATTATATTCATACATTACATACAAACTAATATATTTCAGATGTTTATTTTGTTTAATTTTGATGATTACAAATGACAACAAATGAAAATCTCAAATTCATCATATCAGAAAATTAGAATATTACTGAAGACCAATAAAAACAAAGGATTTATAGAAATGTTGGCCAACTGAAAAGTATGAACATGAAAAGTATGAGCATGTACAGCACTCAGTATTTAGTTGGGCCTCCTTTGGCCTGTATTACTGCAGCAATGCGGCGTGGCATGGAGTCGATCAGTCTGTGGCACTGCTCAGGTGTTATGATAGCCCAGGTTGCTCTAATAGTGGCTTTTAGCTCTTCTGAATTGTTGGGTCTGGTGTATTGCATCTTCTTCTTCACAATACCCCATAGATTTTCTATGGGGTTAAGGTCAGGAGAGTTTGCTGGCCAATTAAGAACAGGGATACCATGGTCCTTCAACCAGGTACTGGTAGCTTTGGCACTGTGTGCAGGTGCCAAGTCCTGTTGGAAAATGAAATCTGCATCTCCAAAAAGTTGGTCAGCTGCAGGAAGCATGAAGTGCTCTATAACTTCCTGGTATGTGGCTGCGTTGACCCTGGACCTCAGAAAACACAATGGACCAACACCAGCAGATGACGTGGCACCCCAAACCATCACTGACTGTGGAAACTTTACACTGGACTTCAAGCAACGTGGATGAAGTGCCTCTCTTCTTTTCCTCCAGACTCTGGGACCTTGATTTCCAAAGGAAATGCAAAATTTACTTTCATCAGAGAACATGACTTTGGACCACTCACCAGCAGTCCAGTCCTGTTTCTCTTTAGCCCAGGCAAGACGCTTCTGACGCTGTCTGTGGTTCAAGAGTGGCTTGACACAAGGAATGCGACAGCAGAAACCCATGTCTTTCATACGTCTGTGTGTGGTGGTTCTTGAAGCACTCACTCCAGCTGCAGTCCACTCTTTGTGAATCTCCCCCACATTTTTGAATGGGTTTTGTTTCACAATCCTCTCCAGGGTGCGGTTATCTCTCTTGCTTGTACACTTTTTTCGACCACATCTTTTCCTTCCCTTCGCCTCTCTATTAATGTGCTTGGACACTGAGCTCTGTGAACAGCCAGCCTCTTTAGCGATGACCTTTTGTGTCTTGCCCTCCTTGTGCAAGGTGTCGATGGTCGTCTTTTGGACAACTGTCAAGTCAGCAGTCTTCCCCATGATTGTGTAGCCTATAGAACTAGACTGAAAGACCATTTAAAGGCTTTTGCAGGTGGTTTGAGTTAATTAGCTGATTAGAGTGTGGCACCAGGGTCCATCAATTTTGAACCTTTTCACAATATTCTAATTTTCTGATATGATGAATTTGAGATTTTCATTTGTTGTCATTTGTAATCATCAAAATTAAACAAAATAAACATCTGAAATATATGAGTTTGTATGTAATGTATGAATATAATATACAAGTTTCACTTTTTAAATGGAATTACTGAAATCAATCTACTTTTTCATGATATTCTAATTTTATGACCAGCACCTGTATATTTAGAAATCACCAAAACAACAAGACAAATGTATAAAGATATTTGCTTTATTGGTCATAACAGGAAAGGTGAATGTTTATTCCACAACTTGCTCCACCACAGTGGTTCTCTCGCTGACATAAATACCATCCAGGAACTTCCTGATGTCTTTCTTTCTGACCGTGGTTGCCTGTTGGATCAACGCAGCTGCAAAGAGAACAGAGTCACATGAGAGTAGGAACTAGGATTTTAAAAACATGAGAGCAACTAATACACGTTTATTCCTCTGGGCTTGGACTAAATAAGAAAAAAAAACATCTAAAAAGGAAATAAAGGCTGATAGTCAGAAAGCCATGTATGAATTAAGAAATATCGAGAGAAGCTAAAGAAAAATATGCTGAGGTGGATCATAAAGAGCAACAAGGAGCAAGAAATACTTGACTTTAAGGAGATATTATTGCAGGCTTAAAAAGAAACATTTTAAAAATTAGAATGATAGAATTTCCTTTTATAAAACCAACAGATCCCATGAACCTTACATTAAAATGTTTAAAGCATATCAACAGAGCTACATTCAGTGAAGAATTGGGCTCCAGGATTTTAATAACTAGAACCACTTGAGAAATTTGAGAATATTAGAAGAAACATGCAACTGAGAAATCTGCAAGAGAAAGAAAGGTTAACAGGTTTACACTGAAGAGGAAAAGTAAAAGCAGGATGTTAGCATGCAGGACAGACACCGACGGCACCATCTAACCTCTACTTCAGGGATGATATTTCTACTGTTCTGGGTCCACTACTGTTCCCTTCTCAGATACGTAAATGCCGTCCAAGAACTTTCTGATATCCTTGTTTTTGACTGTGGTGGCCTGCTGGATGAGAGCAGCTGGAACAGAAGAGGTGGTGATGAGTAACAAGATCACTTCTGCATTCCTGTTTCTGTGATGCAGTTTGACATAAGAAACTAACCAACACTTTAAGGCAGAACTCAACTTTAACTTCACCAGATTACTTTTAATTTTCCCATAAAGAGGAGACAGAATACAGCAACATTACAGCTATAATCAGAATAAATGGAAATCAATATTTCATTTAAGAGGCTTGAGCCACCAACCAAAATAAGACAGCTAAACATCTGGATTAAACTCAAAACAAACCTATTAGATTCTGTATTTTCAAATTCAGAGAAGCATTGGATAATGAGATCTACCTG